TTTTACATCGGAAACCACCCCCAAAGTTTGAAATCGAAGCATTATTTCGACTAGTTATGCTGTACACAGACACAAAAAAAAAAAAAAAAAACACATCATTGTAAAATCAATACATTCATCACTTCGTTCAGAATCTAAAATGTTGGCATATTTTTATAATTGTATAAACTTAAATTATGAATTTATAATTTATGTTTTTGTGTGACTATAAGTAACAATATTTCCTATTTGGTAAACATATTAAATTATTATTGTTATTTTCTTTAAATCCTATAATATAAAATATCTGTTTTCGCAATCTAGTTGTGTTTGCTCAAACATAAAAAGGTAAAAGTGTGCAATCGAGTTGTGTTTTTTTAGGTAAAAAGGTAAATCGTGTTGCGCCCGATTTTTCAACTATTTCCTTAAGAGTTCCCCACAAGGGAGACTAAAGAATCTAAATCCATTTCTATTCATTACCTTCACAACACTATCAATAATTATCTTTCCACCTCTAAGGTCCTTTAGTTCGCTGATAATATCAAAATGTATCTTAAAATCTCTTCTCTCTCTCTGATTGATACCTACTACAATCTGATCTTGACTCCTTCAGCAAGTGGACCCAACCACCCAACGTGTTGGTCTAACACTAAATCTTAATAAATGCCACTTTATGAGATTTAGTAGGAAGCATGTTTCTCTTATCCATCAATACTCTTTAAATGGTTCTAAACTTAAACGCGTATTCGGTGTTAAAGATTTTGGGTTTTACATTACTTTTACTTTTTCTTTCGATAGCTATATTAACACAACTATTGATAGAGCTTTAAAAGYAGGTACTTGGTTTTATAAAACGTAATGCTAGACTATTTACGTCCATCCCTTGCCTTCAATCCCTCTACTTTTCTTTAGTTAGCTCTATTCTAGAACATGGCACAGTTGTGTGGCATCCATCCATATTATGCTTTTTACATCCTTAAATACGTCTCACCCTCTTTACGACTACACTTCTATTAGTTCATTCTTAAATGTTCCTACTCTTTCCTCTCGTCGTCTTAAAGCAGACATCCACTTGATCTCATCTTTACTAAATGGCTCCTAACCTATTGATGCTCCTGATCATTCTTCTACTTATTTTTGTATTCCTTTCTATCCGACTAGAAACTATTTCTAATATTACATCCCTCCTCATTGTACGAACTACAATCACAACCATCCTATACCTACGTAAAATGCTTCACCTCCTTAACACCAACTAAAACTATTATTTCTTATTATAAACACTTTTTCTTTATTTTAGTTTATTCATCACATTTTTCACATTTATGTTATAATTTCAATAGCTTGTATTTATTATATTGACAGCTATGTAATTGCCGATTGGCGTTAATTAATTAATTAATTAATTAATAAACAGAATATACAGATACATTGAGCATGGAATTGTGAGGGACTTGAGTCATATAAATTATACTTACAACAATTCTTAAACATTAGCACCTAAATTGCATTTATATTTACAGTTTACTATACATACATAATCGTAAATTTACATTAGGTTAAAATAGATAGTTACAAATAAGTAGTTATATTTGAATACACTTATGAAATTTTATGTAATAATTTGATGACACTATTTTTCTAAATTTCCATTTTTCTTAATAATTTTAACATTACTTAGAGTCCGGTGAATTCTGAAACAAAAATATTGAAAATATAGAGAGGTATACAATATGTTAAATTATACTTTAATATACTAACGTTATAACTACAATATCAAGTAATAGAACTACACTTGCTGTGAATATTACTGTAATCCAAAATATTGATGATCTAAATATGATTTCATTTACATTGATGAACACAGTAAAATGCATTAAAATCTTCTTTAATTCACTAAATAATAAAATAACACAGAAAATATATAAATTATAAATAAATCATTTTTACAAAAAAATGAACACCTATTAATAATCATGAAATTATTGAAAACAATATTGCAAGCTAAATTGTTATACAGAGATATTAGACAAAGGCGGCAACAGATAATATATTTATGCATAGGTTAACTCCAAAATGTCCATCCTTTCGTTTTATACTCTCACCTGGTAGCTAATTGAATCTAGCCTTAGCATGTTAATCTCTGTCTAGTCTGTTTCAAATCACATTATACAACACACTAAATATATATATATATACATATACATACAGTGGCACCAAAGTGTATAAAATATAGTATAACATTGTACATCAGGGGCCCMCTCACCTTCCTATTTTTATAATTTAACTATCAGATATTTAAATGTATAGTTTAGATGCAGAATCTTACGGTGGGCCACCCATCTAAAAAATTTACTATAATATCTCATAGATAAATTAGGTGATCGACTTTACGGTATACATAATATGTATAGTAAATAACATTATTTATTCAACATTGATTCCTGAGAGATATTAACTGTCACTTTAAATATGCTATGATTATGTTTAGATATTTCTATATTTAATCTTTTTCTTGTACTTGGCTCTTGCTAATTAAGTCCATTTAGCGCTGTTAAACATTTCAGATGAAATTTAATGTATTGAATTTAGTAAATTATAATCAGTTTGTGTAATTGTTTTTTCATCATTATTTTAATAATAAATATAAATATAAATATATAATGTTTATAACATTGTCACTATTCACAATTTATTTTATATTTATAATTACTATTTTTAGGGGTTTTTTACAGTYAATTGGTGATGTGTGGATGTTTTTTTATAGGGCAATAACTTAAGCTGTAGCTGTGTACGTAGTTACCTATTGAGAAGTCAACATAACAATTACCTTAATATCTGTCAAAACTTGAAAGTTTTTGTATCAATTACCATACATAAAAATGAGTTATTGAGATTTCACAAAATAACATTATATTCATTGTGTGTAACTTAAAAGGATGTTATACCTACATGTATGTTTCATATGTGCAGTTTTAAAGTTCTAAAAACTTGCTTCAAAATTATGATGTAAAAATTACCTTTTGAGGTAGGTACCTTAATACTATTCTTTCCTTTAAATTTTATAATAGGTCAATTCATTTCAATATTAAAAATATCTGGGTAAAACATATTTTTTTAAACATATAAATTTCCATGTTATGCTTTAGTAAGATGGAGACCACAAAGGTGGGTATACCGTTTTTTAAAGTTTTAACAATACTCAGGCCAGGAGAGAATATTAGGTACCTTTTTTAGCATGCAGACTTACGGTAGCGATTATTCTAAAACCTCAATTCTCTCACTTTGCRCCATGATGGTAAAGATTTTTACCTATATATTGTTTAGGTACATTACAGCGTCGACTGAATGTGCCATTGTGGTTATGTGGGGGATGCATGGAATTGAATATTTGGATGTGTTTTGATCGGGTCATGGTAATGTTCTTTTCTAACGCAGAGGATTGTACAATACTTAATAGTGTAAATAATTAATTAAATAAGTTTATTACTTATAAACTATTATGAATGAGATCCATGATAGAATTGATAGCCATATAGCTAAGTGTACGATTAAAGACCATGATTGAATATGTAAGCCGGCCTTGAAACACACAATGACCAACATACACTAAATAAATAATAACAAATAATATTATTAAAATGAATAATGCACATAAAATATGACTTAGGTATAATTGTAGATCATTATGTTATTTGTATTACAGTGTATATGACGTTTCCAAATAATGAATAATCGCCTACTCTCCCTTCAGTCCATATAACTTCATGCTTCATAATAAATAAGCATAACCAAAATAAGAGTATTGAGTGAAATAGAGCGTTAACTATCCATATCCAAAACATTTTAAAATTAAACACTTTTTGGGTTTGATAGTACAACTGTGGACATTTTAATCTCTTTTCCGTTGAGCATGTTGTTAGAAATAGTCCCATTACGATTGGTAGAGAAACTGTAAATAGCTAAACAAACACAAAAAAAGCCATTTGCTCTGATTATTAGTTTTAATTTAAGAATCTTGAATAGCTTTCAAAGATTCACAAGCAGTATACTTATATGGCTAAAAACTAAGAGTTTTAAAATGTGCTCACATAAGTATCTTGTATATCTATGGCTGATTCAGAATGACTAACTCATAATTATTTTAACAGGATACTTACAGATTTATACATGAAAATATTCCATCTATCGAATAATAMTTCAGCAGACCACCCAGAATAAATGGCAAACCATAATTGTAATGAATTGAAAACAACGGTTTTATAGTGATAAAAGTAAATCATTTTGGCAATCTTTTCATAATTCCATGCCCCGTGCACAAACAATAATTTTAATAAATAATCAAACTGAAAAAAAAATTAATTTAAACTTCCCAAATTATAATTTTTTAACTTAAAATTAAAATAATTTAGGTTTACATTATTTACTTGAGCAATTGAATAGTCTGAAGCATTATACGCCTGTAATCCATCTAATCCAACTACACCCACTCCAATACTAGCTTTATGGAGCATAGGCACATCATTAATTCCATCACTTATAGCCAGGGTTACTTCATTTGTGTATTTTGTTACAATATCAACAATCTGTTACATTAATTTCAAAAATTTTAATACAGTTATTGTTCTTAAAGCTATGTTAATATTTTATAGTACCACTTATGGCTTTGAAACATTTACACACTACTCAATTTTTAAATTCAAATTATTTTATACTATTATTTGAAAGAACTCGTGTATTTCTATATTTTCTATTGTAAATAATGAACAATTCCCATGGTTATTTAGATTCAAGGGCAGTCACATTGTCTGGAGAGAGGCTATGGTGGTCTCACCCAGGCATGATAGAAACCTACGGGTGCTAACTAGAAATGCTGCCAAATACACAAGTGTTTCAAAAACCTACAGTCTCAAAAACCCAAAAGTATCAACCAACCTTAGATCATATACTATATGATCTAAGCAACTAACCAACCTATAGCTAATGGCCTTAGTCGTCAAAGTTTAATTTTAAAAAAAAATGATATATATCAGGAGTGGCCCACATGGACATCAACGAGCCACATGGATAAATATTATGATATAAAGGGCTATAATATTAATAGATACATTTTATAATTTTATCATATTTTATTGTTAAAGAAGTAAATATTTGTTTTTTTTTTAATAAGACACGAGCCACAAGTTGGCCACCCCTGATATATAATATGTATTTTAATTTGAAAATGTGAGCTAAGCATAAAATTTTTATTATTAATGATTATACTGTCAATTATACTGGTACCTATTTATGTCTTGGACATCTTTTATTTTTAACTTTTAACTAAATTTTTCTTGTATAGGTATACACTATTTTGAATTTTTATGTGTCATATCTCATAAATCATAAATAGTTTAAATAAGTTAAACACCTACCTCACATTTTTGTGAAGGTGATATTCTGTAACAGATGACTGACTTACAGTCTAAGCACAACTTGAGGAATATCATTTTAAGGTCGCTTGACAATGCATGCTTCATCAATCGTCCACTTATTATCAACGTATAATTCATTGTTTCAACTGTAGTGCCCAGACGGTATATTTTTTGATTTACAGAATGCTTGAGATCCTTAAAAGTTTTTTTAATTAGATAAATATATATCTATAATTTTAAAATCATTTTACTTAAAACTATAATAATATTGGTAGGAAATATTTTTAATCAGTAAATCAGTTGTCATAATTATCATTTATTGTGTTTCTAAGAATGATAAAACCTCTAATATAYWATTATCTACTGAGAAATTCCTTTAGAAGTTAAGAGTTAAAATACTTTCCTCGCTATTTTTTATAACAAATCTATAAATATCAATCTATATAATGAAAATTTCTATATTTTTTTTACCAATTCCTGATAAAATCTTTATAAGAAATTTAAAAAATATATTTTAATATTTTGCATGTTTTTTATTAGATAGTAGATATACTAAATCATCATTCTTGAGAATGCTTTAAGGCTGAAGTAGTATAGTATGTTTGATTGCCAGACAATACATTAAGTAAGCTAAAATTTATGAAAATATCAAAGTACTCACTAGGTACTGGTATTAATAATATCTTCTAATAAAAACTGTCTACCTACAGACCTACTAAAACCATTGGTAACTAACTAAATTATTTATCACCTCACTTAAAATCTTTAACATTATATTTATAAGGAAAAATTTACATCAAGAATTCCACATCAAAAATTATTTTTCTAGTAAGTCATCATTAAAAAATGTTTTAAATATTAATTATAAATACATATTTTATATTAATATTTTATAAATTTACTGTTAAATTAGTTTCATTAAACATAATTATTGAGCTATCTTGTGTAATGAGTGTTGTAGACAACCCAAGATTTAATGCTGTTTCTTTTTTATCTCCAGTTAGTATCCATATTTTGATTGATGCACACATTAATGCTTGGATAGTTTTTGGTACCTGCAACAATAAATATTCATTAAAATATGAGGTGTTAAAAATAAAAATGTAATTTATAGGTTTATGAAATAATTACACAAATACACAACAATATAACGATTTAATATAGTATATAGTTAGGTATAAGACGAAGATGGTCCGTAAGATTATTATAGTACTAAGTAGGTATATTTTAGGATAAAATTGTGGTTAAAATAATTTATTTTACTATATCATAAAAATTATTAATACAGTAGGTTAAATTAATTTTTGTCAAAAAAATTGCATTTAAAAATATCACTGCATATAAAATATTTTTGAATAATAACTTATTCTTCATTAAAATATCAAATTTTGTCATTAATTTGAACTTAAAATAACTATATTTTCACCGGTAAATTAATGAGCATTCTATTCATAGATTTTTTTGATATTTTGTTATAATAAAAAAGAATACCTAAAACCATCTCAAATTTTCAGCAAATATTAAAAAGACTATTTTCCATATTTGATACATAATGTGTGTCATAAAAAATACTTATTAATTTTATAGGTAGACTTTAATTTTAAGTTCATATTTGAAGAAAATTACATATTTAAACCAAAAACCCATGAACCACTTCACATTTACTGTTTTTTCCATGCAGATTCATATGGTATTCATGTGGGTAAAGTATTTTCACTAATTTGAACGTTACACATTGAAATTGAAGTAGGTATAAATTATAAACAATTTTATCAAATATTTATTAGAAAATGTGTTCAATACATAAATTCACAGTTTCTACTCACGTCAATCAAAACATGTCTTCACATGGTGGTTAAAAATAATAAATAATGAAAATGAAATATAAATATTGTATGTGCATTATAAATATAAGCGATTTTCTTATTTTGTTCTAATTAATAACGAACATATGTATATATGTACTTAGAAATTTATACCAAATGTTAGTTTATCTCTATACTTAATAAAATTATCAAAACATTTTGAATAGTTTTAAACTGATTATGGACATTTAAAATTTTTTTTTAGTTTATTTTTATATAAATATCAATAGAATTGTATTTTTTAGGCCACAACTTAAAATTTATCACAAAGCCCCTTACACATTTTTACAATATAGTTTAAAAATATTAAAAATACATGGTAAATATTTTCTAGCCAAAATTGAATAAATTTGTTGAATTTCTATAATTCAGGATTGAAAATTTAAAACGAGGTTCCACTTGAGAAGAGGTTCTGTGGCCAAAAAGTAACAATATTAGTAGGGTTCAGAAGTTATAGGAGCAAAAAAAGGCAAAATATGCAGGAAAAAATTATAAAATATGCATGAAAAAATGTATTTATTTATTAAAAGTGTGTTATTTATTTATAAATATTCACGTAAAAAAATTCTAAAACTATATATTTAAAAATATTGTATTGTTTAAATCTTTTATATATAAAAAAAAATTTGGCGCATTATCGGTTGGCGTTTGAGATTTTATTGAACTGAAAAAATGTAATATTATTTAAAATAAATTGGTTAAGAATGAAAAYAAAATAATTTTTGTAGAAAATATTAAATATGCATACAAATATGCCAAAATCAATGAAAAATTGACCAAATATGCATTTTTAATTTTCAATTTTTAAACTCAACATTGTGTAGTTTGGATTTATAGCTTGGTTTGCTATAACTCGACGGTGCAACTTTTATAACTTCCGAACCCTAGATATTAGTTATTTTGTTGTAATTTAAATATATTATTCGTGGGTATTTGGAACTTTTAAAGTAGTATATTATTTTATTTTATACACACACACAATGATATTTCAAAATTAAATCTTTTTAACCTACTATAGTACTAATTCTTAAAATACAGTTAGGTAAATTAATATCATAAATATATCCACTTAGTAATATTATATAATCTCACAGATTGTCTCCCTTCAGAGTTCAGAATTGTTTTTTCTAAGTATGCATTGGCCAATGATTTATCATTGAATTCAAATACATCGTCCATAAATGACATTCTCAACAAATACTGTACAACAGAATGGTACCCTCTTGTACACATTTTTTCTTTTTAAGTTAAATAAAATTAATAAATGATTAAACGTTTAATGAATAAATATTTTTTTATCATGAAATAATACAAAAGACCCCCTTTAAATAAAATCCAAAAACTACGATTGCCGGTTGCACAAAACATTGATGAATTTAATGATCCAGTTAAATTTTAATTAACTATTTATGGACCACCAATTCATGTTTAATAAACCATTAATTCACAATTTATTCATTAAATGTAGTGTGATTTATGATACTTGGCAATAAGCTAACTAGCTATTAGTTATTATTTGTTAGGTATTTTATAAGTTATGATAATATATAAATGCAATCTTATTGATAAATGATAAAAGTATAATTATTAACCAACATTGTCTTGTAATTTATTTTCAATTGCAGTCACTCCAATCAAAGTCAGTTTATTTTCTATTTTTTCAGCAACTTTATTTTTGGCGCTTTCTCGGTTTAATAACACAGTTGATGCATTGCGATATTCATCTTTCCAGCTGTTATAAAAGCTTTCAGAAACATTCTTATATGCAAAACATAATGTTCGATAACCCGAACAGGCAAAATCATTTAAGTGCATTAGGGTTTGGTGTTTATACTTTTCCCCAGATTTTGATAGGCGTTTAATAATGCTGGTATCTGCACCCTAGAAACATTAAAGTGGGTAGAAAAGTTATTTAAAGTAATAAACTTATCAATATTTATTATTATTATAATACTTTGCAAAATAATTTTATTTGACCATCAGGCATTCGAACAATAACTGACATTCGTTTCCTATAATTTGTAAACTCTATTACATTTAAAATTTCATAAGTCTCTTCTCCGTTAAATGTAGTAATAGTCACTGATGTTGGACAACGAGTGTGAAATGTAAATCCAAATTGTTGTGATCCAATCACTAATGCTTGTTCATCTAATGTTATGCATAAAAAAACGTAGATTAATAATTGTCAAACAGTAAACTAAAATTAACCTAACTATATGATTTTTGAAAAATTATAAATACTTATATTATATCAAAATATAATAATTATACAACAATTAAAATATAAATAAAAGATAAGTATAAATGTGTGATCATTGAGTAGGTATATATTGTTATATATATATATTTACAATAAATAYACAATGCCTATCTAAAGTCAATACAACTTGTCACATTCATTGGTAGGTATAGCATATATGTACAGTACATTATAMATAAATCAATCCATTATTATGCATACAATATTCTTATTTGTAAAAATAAAATTTAATGGCTAGTTATGCCTGCAAGATGTAAAAACTAAGATGTATTTTCCTTCCCTCGAGGGAATTTATTATATCCCAATATATTTTATGAATTTAAATTGGGAAAACAAACTACTATAATATTTATAAAAATTACATTTATTTTGAAGATGAAGAATTATCAATATTAAAATGTAAATAAGATATAATTTATAAAATACATRATATATTTTATAAATTCAGAGGGCCGGAGTGGCGAAGTTGATTGTGACTCACACAGACATCGGTTCGATTCATAGCAAAGTGCAAAAAAAATTGTATGGTTTTTCGTGATCACCAATTTCTCATGCTGTCGTCCGATGGAATCATTCAGTTTCCAAATAAGTCCCACTCCATTAGGAGTGAAGACCGCACATGCTCCTATTGGAGAAGGGGGTAGTATCATGTATATA